TAAAAACGAATGGAACATTGCCTTAAAGTTCTGAATGTTGGATACAAGTCCAACCAACATTTTTTTGAGTACCTTTTATTTCCTTTTGAACAGGCGAGTGGAAGGGATTCGTAAGCTGGTTCCACCGAATGCTGTTAAGGGTTGCCTGGAGATGTGGATGTAGATTTGTGCGAATAGGTTCTCAGAGCACTGCCTTGCGACCCAGGTGAATCATTGCTAAGCTTTCGCCCTTAATGTGATGGACATCGTCAGAGCAGAACACCTTGCTTATCGATAATTCACCCAAAACGCAAAGGCAAAATAGATGGCTGGCTTCAAACCTACCTACTTATTATGGTTTAATTCGGTCCACTTATGCATATCATGTTTTGGTTGCATGCCCTATGCTTTGTCTCTATATTAGCTTATAAGCTAAGTTAAGTTTCTGCAGATGAAGCGTAAAACGGATGCAATTGAAACCAAATAGCTGCATCCAATAACACACATATGCCTTTGATTCGTGCATAATCAAGCCTTCTCTTACTTGATGAAACTTCTCGTCCCTCCCTCTCTCCCTCTAAATCTATCATACAACCACAAATAGTTTACGCCTAACTCACGATTGATTTAGAAAAATGCAATAAGTTACACTTTTTAAATGTCCTAGCTGATAAAGAAGGCAGAAAGCTAAGTAGAGTTGTATATGGGAAACTCACAAATGCTGGTTTCCTTACTTTTTTCTCGAACCGTACTTATGGTGATAAGCGTAATGGAATCAATGATAATAAGGAGCTTACGCTTAGCCGACGTAAATCATCGATAGCAGGAGTAAGAAAGGCTTAGTTGAAAAAAATTATACCGTAGGATTAATTATTAACAGTATCAAAAATGTGCTAAATAGAGTAAGGAAAACCATTATTATGGACAAAACGGAATTATACAACTTTGTGTACAGGCTCCTAATGCCATCATCCTGCAAGCTTTGAAGAAAGATGGGTGAATTTTTGAGGAAATGGAGCGTCAAGACAAGGTATAGAGAAACTAACGCTTTCTTCGATCATGCCTTCTTTTAGAGAATCTTCTAACGCCCTTTGCTGATCAGGTTTTTATAAGGTCATGTGCTCGTGTGGTAGTGTTTACGTGGGCGAGAATTGTCGATCCATACATAAGATCCATAAGAACACAGAACCACCTGCAAAGGCTCATGGATTCAGAAATCGGAAGTGGCTAAGCATGTTCTCGCTACAGGGCACCAGATGGTGTGGTCCAAATTCTAACGTTTTGCCGGATATGGGGACTACACAGCTAGACGGAAGATCTGAGTCAATTGCAATTAATAAAACAAAGAGCATCCTGAATAAGAGGAACGAATGTAGGAAACTAAGTAAGAACTTTCTCTGGCTTCTAAATAGAATGAGAGAGATATATATAAGGAAAGGGAATAGAAAGGGCGACTGAGTAAGAGAAGACAACACCAAGCTGGAGCCTGGTTAAAATTAAAATTGTCAACCAACACGAGGTTATTGTATACACACGCAAATACGCACCCATGAAGGTGTAACAAGACCCAGGACTACTGGATCATACTCAAGTTTATTTACGTAGACAAAAGTTGTGACCACATACACTCCCCTGTCTATCACTTTGACCCACTTACATGCATATAGGAAAAGCATACGTCAGCCAGTCAAATAATGGAGTGTAAGTGTTGGATGAAGAGACTCGAAGGTCGATTCCACCAGAAGACGACGGAGGATTCCTCTTGACCAGCTGTTGATTGATTTTACTGGAAGATTCATGCTGACGCTGCTTCCGAGGCAGTCTCCTTCGATTCCCGTTAAAAGGTGCTAAGCTTTCGTCCGTCATGACGGACATCATCAGAGCGAGGTAACATCGTCAAAACAAAATTTAAGCTAACGAGTCAAGAAAACTCACCGGTAACTTGACTCAAATGCTTAAAAGCTCATATCTCATTCTCTGAACCATTCTTGTTTACAGACTTACGCAGTCTCGGACAGGGCTTTCTCTTGGGTCATTAGGCCTTGGTGATCAAAGACTGACATTAGCCTTATGATAACTGATCAAGGACCGGTATTTCGTATAGACGCTAGCAGACGCATTCACACACGTACACACTCAGCAAAAGTAGCAGGACGAGTATGAAAGATAACTATATCTATCAATGTTTTTAATTTTCTGTGGCTAAACTAAGTCTATATAAGAGGTTAGATAGAGTCGGATACTCTTATTGCCCTGGTATTAACGTGTAACTAGCGAGGAGTGAGAAGAGGCTTAACTGAATACGATAAAAATGGCTTAACTACAAGCAAATAAGAAATTGTGATGGTGAAGGGGTGTTATGAAGATATCGAATACGTTAATACACTAGGATAGAAGAAGAGACACCACAATTGTTTAGCATAAAATTAACGAAAGGATTGGTTTCAATTATCTCTGACAAGTTGTGGAGTGGTGCTAAGAAGGGGAAAACTCACTGACGATGCAGGCAAGATGTCTTGGGATTTATTAAGTCCACGGTTCGAATCTGTAAAGTATCATGTATACTATGGACTTCGGACGAGGCGTTCCTCTAGATCTTCAAGAAAATATGACTGAGTTGCGAAAAGATAGTCAAACAACTTCTATACAACCAAAGGAAAACATGACATCACTAAAGGTCACACCAATTTGGTCTTCCTCGCTTCGATTAAAGAAAAAAGGATCACTTAGTCTTATAGCATTTGCATAATATATTTACGCTCATAGCTTGATTGTATTCATTAATCTATTACAATAGCAAAATGTTTTCCAAAATTCAGCTGAATGGCATTTTGAAGCTTACTTCAAGTTCTTCAAGTCTACACTCATGCAAAACTTTGCGTGACTTTAAAAATCTATGAAAAAAG